TTTCAATTGGTTGTGCATGAGCTGCAGCTTCCCACTGTTCTGTTCCAAAATATAGAAGTAATTGATCAATATCATAATTGAGATATGTTAATGCAGTACGATAAGCTTGTTGGTTAACTGTTTTACTGTACAAAGGGAGTGTTTGCTGTTGTTTACCACGAACACTTATCAAAGAATACATAGCGTTTGGGTGTAATGGATATTTTAACGAAACATCGAAATAACGTGCTAATAAGTTAATAATATGAGCAATATCACCGTATACTTCATTCATTAATTCTAGCTCTTGAGACCCAATTTTATTTGGAATAACTACACCATTTAGTAACATAATAGGCTGTGTTAATTTATCATCAGGACGTTGTTTTAGAGAATATATTTTTTTTAATTGATTAATAAGTTCTTTCTTTAATTGAAATACTTTATTTTGTAACTCTTTATGCTGTCTTTCCAGTTCCTCAGCAATACTCAACACTTGAACACTATTTTCTAGTACTTCCTTCATTTCTTTTTTTTGGACTTTTTCCATTAATTCGACACTTTTCATAAGTTTTTGACTTTCTCCTTCAATAAATATTTTAAGGTCTTCATTTTGTTTCATTAGAGTTTGTTTTCTGGACTGTAACTCAATTCTTTTGAGTTGTAATTCTTCTAGTCGTTGAAGTTTCTCACTAAGGGTTGTTCCTTCAGATTTTTGTGATAAAATATTTGATATTTTAGCTTCTAAATCAGCACATTCTTCTTTTCTTGAATTAATGGCATTTCGTAACCGTATTAATTCCATTAACTGGTCATGACTACATGACATTTGTAGTTGCATTTCCTGAGTGAACTAATTTGTTCCTTTTTTCTAAAAAAAAAGTGTAATGTTATATAAATCAAATCAATCAAATTTTCTTTCAAATTTCTTAATAGCAAGCTCAACACCAGTAGTTAATGGAAGAGTATCTTTCATAGCGTATTTCACTGTTCTTAATTTCAAAGATTGTTTAATAGTAACATAAATATCACGAACGGTTAAAATAAATTTGATGTTGTCTAAATCAAGTAAGTCTGGAATATCCACTCCTCCAATCAAAGCCTTTCTCATATTGGATATTTCTTCTAAAATACGATCTCTTTTGTTTTGTATTGAAGAGGTAGTATGAAGCATTTTTTTAATTTTATCATCTATATCATCACACTCTACATCTTTTCTACAACAATAATTAACAGAGAGAACAAATAACTCTTCTTGTGTTACAATTCTAATGTTTGTTTCATTAATTCCAAGAGCTATTATACTATCCCTAAACCATTTAACCATATCAACTAAAGGAGCTTGTTTAAGAACCCGATGCAGTTTTCTTTCCATCTTTAGTTTTGTATCTCGTTGTTCCTCTTTTGCCTTTCTCTTAGCTTTACGTGAGTTTGGATGTTCCTTTTGAAGAACAGGAAGTTTTGATGTATCGTCAGACATGAAATGATTCAATCCTGATCAATCACAAAAAAGTAATGAAGAGAAAAAAATAGGGTTGATGTATTTATTTTTTGTAATATATGACACAAAAATAATTTGAACAAGAAAGAAAGATAGCAAAAAGAATAGTAAGAAAATTAAAAAATAATAATAAAAACCCCCAATGCGGAACAAACTAGAAAAAAGGGCTTTATTTGTTAGTCTCTCTTATCTATGGTCGGACCTGTCATAAAACCAAAGATTGTTAAGAAATATACTGGACATTTCAAGAGATTTGATTCAAACAGATTCCTTCGTGTTAAAGCATCATGGAGAGTTCCAAGAGGTATTGATAATAGATTAAGAAGAAAATTCAAGGGAACTAATCTTCTTCCAAAGATTGGATATGGAAGTGCTAAGGCTACTAGAAATATGCTTCCATGTGGACTTTATAAATTCCCAGTTCGTAATACAACTGATCTTGAAATGATTATGATGCAAAACAGAAAATATGCTGCTGAAATTTCACATGCTGTTTCTGCTAAGAAGAGACAAGAAATTATCCAAAGAGCTAAAATCTTAAACATTAGAGTTCTTAATGCTGAAGCTAGAATTAAGAAACAAGAAGTTGCCCAATAAATAAATGGTTCTTTTGTGATAAATGGGAATACTTTTAGTTTTTTTCATATTTTTCTTTCTTAATAATAATATAATAACTAAACTAATCTTATTTAAACAGAATATAATTCACAGTAAATTATTATTTATTTTTTTTAAAGCCAACTACTCTTGAATTTACATAAAGTTGCAAACCAATTCTTTTCATTATTTGTTCTCCATTTATCATTTGCTATAATATCATCTAGTACTGCTTTCCAATCCTTTGCATCACTTTCTTGTTCAAATTTAAGACTAATACTATCATGATTTCTTTTTACTATTAAAGTTGTTGCTTTTGGTGTTTCTAATATTACTTTATTATCAACTAAAATTTTATCGCCTTCCCAACAAATCATATCATTTAGTAAATAAACCATTTTATGTTTTCCATTTAACGATACTTTATTCTCTCTTAAGAAATATCTCCATGGTTGAATTAAGTTAATGTCATTTAAAATTTGACTAACTTCAATAAGTTTATCTCGTAATTTTGCTCTTTCGTTTACTTCGTGAATGAAAAAAGTATAATCTGCATTTGCTTCGAATAATGTTTTGTAGTCTCGATGACTTTTTGAAGTTCGTTTCAATATTTGTTTCAATAAAATTGGATATCTCATGATTCGTTGTACTGGTTGGATTAATAATCCTTCAATAGTTTGATTATCTAAAGAAGGTTCTTTTGCTTTATCTTTCAATAACTTCTGAACACATGGATATGTCTTTAAAAATTTTAATTCACTTTGAGCAATATTATAATCAATGCTAAACCTGATATACGGCCATACATTAGATAATAAATCTTCCATTAAATTACCTAAACAAGTATTATAATTAAAATGTTCTACAACTGGTTTTAATTTTTCTATGAACATTTTACTACATATTATTAAATCTTCTAAGGTAAGAAAGACATTATCAAATGGTTTTTGTAGAATAAACCCATTATTTTTTAATTGCATCATTGGTATTCTAAAATGAGTGTTTAATAATGACATTTTATCACAAAAACTTACTTCTGTTTCATATAATTCTTTAACAGCTTCTCTTCTTAATTTTATTGTTTCTAAATCATATCCTTTTTGTGCAATAAATGCTTTACATGCACTTTCAATTTTTGCTATTTCTTTATATTCACTTTCTTTAATCACAATTGTTGACTTAGAAATAAGTGCTAAAGCATTTAATCCGACAGCACTACAAGTTTTTCTTCGTTCATGCTTTATTTCATTTTTTGTTTTTGCTATAGTCAAATCATCTTTAGCACTTGTCTTAGTTTCTTCAGGACTAATTCTTTTTCTTTCTAACATTGAAGAAAAGCTAAGTAAGGGTTTTTTCTTTTTAATGGTTCGTTTTTCTTCATCTTTTTGAGAATTACTTACTCTTTCTGAAGATACTGTGAGACTTCTAGAACGAAATGGTACTTTAGGAGTAGGAGTTGGTGGTAGTGGATGAGTTGGAACAGGTAGTCTAAATGAATTTGATTTTTTTTCAAGGTTAATCACATAATCAATAATTTTATGATAAGCACTAAACTAAAGAATTAACCTTATAAGGTATGATTTTAAATGAAACATGAAAGAAACAAACCTTTATAAACTCAATGACTTCATGATCAGTTAGTCCCATTCTTTTCATTACAAATATATCAGTGTCGTTCATACCGCCTATTTTATTGATTAGATTTTTCTTACAAAAAAGTAATCTCTATGAAAATCATATTTCCTTTAGTAAAACAAATAAATATCATAAAAGATAAAAAAGATGTAAAATAACTAAACTATATCATATTTTGTTATTTTTTCTTAAAAATTTAAACCCAAAAATCTACAAAATAAGTTTAGTAAATATCAGTTATCATTTATTGGGGTTTCTTCTTCTTTTTCTCCATCACGTTTATAAATATCTGTGACCATTGGTTTCATTTTTTCAATAAATTCTGAAACATTGAACCCTAATTTAACGTCAATTTCTCCACCTCCAATCCAACAATAGTCTCCTGGTAATTTAGTAATATCGTCAGCAAGAACTATTGGTAATTCTTTATTCATTCCAAATGGAGTAATAGCATTGTGTTCAAATCCAGAAATAGTGATTGCTTCACTTTCATCAGCAACCCTAAAATGAAAATATTTCTTTGGGACAGTTGGATTAATTGTTCTTAGATATTTAAATAATTTATGAGATTGCATTTGTGCTACATATTGAACAATTAATAAATAAAATCTTGAAAATGTTGGTGTTTCAATTCCATCATCTGGAAAAGCTGTATTTTCAAGGATTAATGATTTACATAATTGAGTTATTGACTCAGAATTTAATTGTTTTCTTCTGTATTCAAATGGCATATTATAATAATCTCCAGTTACTCTACAAAGGCAAGAAGAAGTGATATTATGTTCTAAAGCACTATTATAACATCTTAATGTACAATATGGTTTTTCATCAGTAATAATAGTAATCAAAGTATCTAATTGTCTATAAGAACATTCTAATGGACGAGAGGGATGTAAGTGAAATCGTGGTTTTACTTCTGGTATAGAATTAGTTAATTTAGCAAGTAAAGAATCGATTTTATGTAAAGTTTCTAAAGATTGTTAATTTTATTTAATTAATAATATTAATACATACAAACCCATGCTTTCTTATTAGTTATTAATAGATCTTGTTTTATATTTTTTTTTGTTTTTAGTTCAAAGAAAAATAACAAAATAATTTTTTAGTATAACAAAATAATTACTAAATGATTCAAATAAATTTTAAAGGGAATGAATGAATTAATTAACAGGACATTAAGAAAAATATTAATCTTTTTTGGATAAGAATATTTCAATACTAATAATTATAAATGATCTTCTTTGTACTTATTACCATTGGTTTTGCTACGTGTATAACTCAAAAAACTATGTGTGGGAATGGTACTTTTGAACAGTCATTTGATGTTATGACAATAACATATACGTGTTGCCCTTGTATAGAACATTGCAACAATTGTTTAAATAGTGAATTATGTAATGAGTGTGAGCCAAGGTATGGATTAACTCATAATTCTACTGGAGGTTTGATATGTTCTCCATGTGAACATGCACATTGCGCTGTGTGTGAAGAAGGTTCAGTTGGAGGAAAATTGGAAGAACAATGTTTTAAATGCGTTGATTCATTTAAAAAAGATGAAAATGGAAATTGTGTTTATGATGGAGACGCAGGATATGAACAAGTTCTTTTATTTGATATTATTATGAGTATTTGTGGGTTATTCTTTGTTGTTATTCTTGCTTGTAAACAGATGAATAGAAAATATCAACAACTTATTACTGACTCTACAACTAATACAAAAGATGAATAAATTGATTTAATTAGAATGAGTTAAAATAAAAATGTTTTTATTTATGACAATACAAAGAATTGTAATTATCATTCATTTCTTTCTCATTAAAGAACTTTTCATCTTAATATGATGAGAATGAAAAAAGAAGATTTTAATTAGAATGGAATTTTCTTTTCTGTGTAGAATTTTGTCATTTCTTCATTAATTGTTTTAAACACTTCTTCAACACTTCCTTCACCTGAGACTCTTAACAATTTGTTGATTTTTCCAAAATGCTCAATGATTGGGCAGGTTTCTTTTTCAAATGTATCAAATCTTTTTAAAACAGTAACTTCATTATCATCACTTCTTCCACTATCAACAGACCTCTTCATAATTCTTTTTTTCATTGTTTCTCTTTGAACATCAATGGTAATGCATTTAACAACTTCAAAAATTTTGGAATCAGCCATTTCTTCCCAAACGTTTTTGTTTTCTTCATTTCTAGGAAAACCATCAATAAGGAAAACTTTGTGTGGATGTTCTTGAATAGCCTTTAATAATAGTTTTACAGTGATGTGTGAAGGAACAATTTTTCCTTCTTTAATAAGTGAAGAAATTAATTGTCCATCTTGTGAATCTGGTCGAGCCATTTCAGCTCTCAATAACTCACCTGCACTTAAATGAGTTATTGGAAATTTTTCTACTAATTTATCACATTGAGTACCTTTTCCTGCACCTGGACCTCCAAGAATGAAATAAACGTATTTAATGTCTGACATAAAAAATATGTTTATATGTTCTTTTTCTTTTTGTCCTTTTTCAGAAGGACATTGCGTGGAAACACATAACCTTAATTTTATATTTTTATTTATTAAATAACAAAATTTTTTAAATACTATATTAACTGAGGAATTTATTGTTTTCTGTTTATTCAATTATATGATGATTTAATTAATATTTTTAATACAACCTGTTCCTATTGGTTTTTGTTTATTCAATTGTTTAATTGTTTCTTGTTAAAGACAACAAATAATATTTCAGAATTATTCTGTGTAGTTCGTGGTTGGTTCAAGTTTAAAATTGTTGCTGAAACTTTTTTATAACTGTTTATTATAAATACGTATCTGTTAAATTAGTTCAAGTGCTGTTTTATTTTTGTCATTCTAGTGTTAATCGCTCTCAATTTCTTTTTTTGCTGAAGCTTCAATTGAATACATACACATGTTTATATTATAATTATGCATACTTTATTACATTTCAATTAAATTAAAATTGTTTGTATTTATAATAATCATTTATTAAATTTAATTTCATTAATTTAAATCAAATAATTCTTGAATATCTTTTATTAAATTCATTATAATAATATTAAAATAGTTATAATTTTTAATAAGTTACATATAATCAAAACTAGAAGAAAATACTTCATTTATATAGTGTTTGATTATATAATATTGAATTATGAATGAAAAATATGTTGTTAACAAATTAATATGAAAAATAATAAGATAATACAATGAATTAGATTAAATAGTAATAAAAATAATATTGAAATTGTTTAAAAAATAGTTAATATTTATCGTTTTGTGATTATAATTATTTATTATAAAGCATTCATTATTTTATTAATATTAATTTATTTCAATGAAATATTTTGAATTAGTATTATTACAATATTTTATATTCATTAAAATATCTTTCTTCTCAACTTTTATTAAGTTGTCATTAACTTGTTCATTACTTTTATCTTTTTTAATCAATACATCACGATTTTCTATTTGAATAACTATTAATTAGTGTATATTTTATTTGTATTACCAATATATTTTTTATTCCATTATTTTTTTATTCATAATAATGAAGTTGGTTTAATTATTAAACTTCATCTTCATTATTTAATATTACTTTTATATGTAATATTTATTTTATAGCATATTAAAGTATTTTTGATTATTTTAAATTTGGTAGAGTTATATTAGTAATATTGGTATTATTGATTTTTATGATATGGTTATTTGATATAATAACATTTAAATACATCAATTCAAATATTTTTAATTCTATTAGAACTACAATCAACCTTCTAATCTATTTAGTATTATCATTTGATTTAATAACACTAATTTTAAAAAAGTCAAGTATAATGTAATTAAAAACAGAAAATGAGTAAGATTGATAAGAGTTAATATCAAATGAACATAAGAGAATTTATAACTAAACAGATTCATTTTTATTCAATAAATTAACTTAATGATAAATATGATAATATAATCTATTTTTATTGGTTTTGAATCATTTAAAACACCAATGACTCTGACTTGATTAAAAACATTACCTCAGCTTAAATGAAATGTTTATTACTGACACTCGGTGTATTAAAATAGCTGTGATTTCGGAGAAAAGAAAATAGCAATTGACGTAAAATGATTTATGAAATTATTTTAGAAATGAGTCATTAATTTATTGATATTCATAACAGTGTTTTTCATTTAATTAACAATAAAATCAAATAATTAAAATGTTATAAATTATAAAATTTGTTTATTCACTATTTTTGGATATACGTAGTATCATTTGTATTATAAAAAATAATTAACTAAGATTGATTTTGTATTTTAAATCAAATATATAAAAATCATTTTATATTATCTATTTCTTTTCAAACTTTATTATTATCATTTTCTTCTCATTGGTATTTATTAGTTATAATTTTTTTATTGTTATACATTACTTAACAACTTTTTTGTTTCATTTTCATGCTGTTTTGTGTTTTTTTTATTCAGTTTAGTCATTTTACTTATCTTTATTTATCCTGTTCATTTTGTTTTTCTGTTTTTTTTTTCAATATTATTTTATTAACATATACGATTTCATCATTATCACTTACTTCTTTTTTATTCTTTTATCTTACTTTTCTTATTAATTTATCAGTATGTATTTATCATTGTATTATTTGGTTTGTAAGTAGATTATTCTTTTTAGTTGTATCTTCATTTTTCTAATTCTTTCGCAATTTCTTTTCATAGAAATGGAAATGAATGAGAAAAAAGTCAGGAAT